ATATATATATATATATATATATATATATATATATATATATATAAAAGAGGGAATAGATGTGTGAAATTTAGACTTAGAAATCTGCCGACTTGAAATACTCAATAAGACAATAATCAATACTTACTCCAGCGGTTTCCGCTACAAGAAAGCATGATAAAATCTTATAACTACAGAAATATTAACAGTAAAACTCATTTCCTACTGTGAAAGGACACCATCTCCAAGCAAAGGATATAAAGGTAAGCAAAAAATAAATAGACAACTGCAAAGAAAAGAATAAATATAAAGAGAAGATATGAATAAGGAAAGAGAAGGAAAAACCAAAGGAATAGATGTGTGAATTTTCAGTTTGACAATTAATTCTGTCATTGACGACGTTATTAACATCGTTTTCTTCTTTAATTTTGTCGTAATTTGATTAATTACTTTTTCCCCCTATTTTAAAATTTTAACGAGTGGAGAAAATTATATATTCAAGACACTTCTGTATACACATATATAGAAAATAAAGAACCATTTTTTCTAAACAAATATCCATGTAACCAAATTATTTACTAAGCAAAGAAAATATATCAATTGTAAGTTTATGATATAGTTTAATAATTTCGTATGTATGTCTTGCCTATATTTTTTTAGTTTTCTAACTTTTATGTATTCAGAGATTTTTTCCCGTTAACAAGAAATTCAATATATGTAAGAACTGTTTTTTTTGTTCTCTAAGACCGCGCGAAGCGTGGCAAATTCACTAGTGGTTGATAAAGAAAGGATCCCTTTTAGGTTACTCCACAAAATTAGTTCAATTTTAATTTGAAAAATAAAATAATTAACTCCAAAATTCTAAAATAAGCATAATTTTGTAATTTGAAAAAATCAAGTAATCCATTGCTAAAGGTTGGTTAAATTACGCCTCTAGCGTAAAATTGAATATAAGTAATTTGAAGTTCATAAAATTGTTTTCACATGGACAAGAAAGGCATTTATGAGTAGATTTCCTCTTACATAATCTTCAAATGTAATGAAAAGAGAAAAAGACACCTGGATTGTTTGTATCAACTATACCATCTATTTATTTCCATAGACAAGATGCGGGAAGCGAGGGTTATAATTCGGGCATGTTCAGAGGAGAATCCCAGATACTCCGATAAGGAGGTGTGAGCGGCTGATTGTTGAGGGGGCACAAGAAGAGATAAGGGCGGCCTAAGAAGTATTGGGGAGAGATGATCATGCAGGATATGGCGAGGCTTCAGATTTCCGAGGACATGATACTTGATGGGAAGATGAAGTCGAGTATTAGGGTTATAGGTTAGGAGGTAGTTGAGTCTTGGCTTACTTCATATCTTTATGAGACTAGTCTCGTAGGGTTTTTGTTTAAGATCGCTAGTGACAATGTTGTGTCTTACTATTTCGCTTTTCAGTGCATGACCTATTTACTAGCTATCGCTTTTGCTTTGCATCTTTCTTTTGAATGTAATGTTGTTCCTATTTTTCCTATGATTTATGTGGTGATACCAATATTGTCTCTTTTTGTCTTTTTATTTTTTTTTGAGCCGATGGTCTTTCGGAAACAACGTCTCTATTCCTTCGGAGTAGGGATAAGGCCTGCGTACACACTGCCCTCCCTAGACTCACTAGTGAAATTTTACTGGATTTGTTGTTGTTATTTCCATAGACATAACAATTCAGCAATTGTAGCGTAGAAATAAGGGTATGGGAATAAAAAACGTACCCCCCCCCCCCCCCTCCAACCCCAGAAAAAAAGAAATGAAGATCCAAAAGACACTCTGTTCGAACTTCTTTTTTTTCTTTTTCTTTTATTTATTCCTTCTTGCTTTGCTTTATATTAAGTCGGTGGACAGAGGGCAACAAGCTTCCGTTATCGTCCAGCGGTTAGGATATCTGGCTTTCACCCAGGAGACCCGGGTTCGATTCCCGGTAACGGAATTCAATTTTTTGTTCCATTCCTATTCAAATATAAACAGAAACGGAATTCTAGTTTTTGTATCCATGTTAGCTATATACTAATACGCAGAGAAGCTGACAACAATTCCGTTATCGTCCAGCGGTTAGGATATCTGGCTTTCACCCAGGAGACCCGGGTTCCCGGTAACGGAATTCATTTTTTTGTTTCTTTCCCTCTCAAAAGAAATTTATACTAGTTAGCCTAAAAAAAGAAAATGAGAGGAGAAAAACGAAGATAAGCAAGTTAATCTTCTCCTTCTTCCTAATAAAGAATTGATTATAGAAACTACCACAAAAGTATGAAAACAATTTTTTTTTTTTTTGACAAACATAGGAAATTTCCCAAAAATAAAATTGACCAGAGAATAATTTAGGTGTGAGGCCACCATGGCGGGAAGTAGGAGTGGCAAAATGGTTCAAAGAAAACAGTTAACCATCCATATTATCCATTAAAAATGGGTTGGATAATGAACTTTTTAAAAACGGATCAAATATGGATAAGAACCATATTATCCATTTAAAAAATGGATAACCATTGAGTAATCAATGGATAACCCATGGGTCTAACTTTTACATTTGTAAAGTCTCAAATTGGGGGTTCCTCAAGTTAGGGAGACTAAGAATTCTCCCAAAAGTGATCATATACAAGGAGTTAATAGATAATATGGGTGTTAACCCGTTTTTTATCCGTATTAAATATGGATCGGATCGGATAATTAATCCGCTTTTTTCATTACCCATTTCAACCTGAACCATATCCGACCCGACCCGCCCGTTTGCCAATCCTAGCGGGAACCAACTGAAATTAGCTATGTGCGAAATTCTTATCCGCTCAAGGGCAAATTCCTCCATAATATACCAAAAATAAACTAACATTTAAATTTTTTAGCAAATTATCAAAAGAATGGCTACTCTTTGTCTGTCTTCATCTTCTTCAGTTAAACTAAAGGAAATCTCCACTTTTCATTCTTTCCCAACAAATGCAAATTTCTCATCAAAAACCTTCTGCAAAAATTTACCGGTCAATCATGCGCCTTATTGTGAGAGGCGATTGGAGCAAGTACGGGAATCTTGGAAGTGGAGGACAAAGGTGTCATTCTTTCCTTTTTTCTCGACCAAAAGCAAAGACATTGAGAGCCTTAAGCTTGAGCTTTTCGAAGCCATAGCCCCTCTTGATCGTGGTGCCGAGGCTACTACTGAAGACCAAAAGCTTGTTGATCAGGTGTTTAATCTCTATTTTCGAATTCCTCTTGGATAGTTTCTGATGTCGTGAAGTTGAAAATTTGTTAATTGTATTTTAGGTATTTTGGGACTTTATTGTAGTGCTAAATTAAATAAATAAAGTGTTCACTTGCAGTGAGTTAAATCTGTTAGATAGGAGTTCACACAAGTATTCAATATGCTATGGTAGCATAATTCTTACCTCGCGTAGGCATTTTGGGTTCCTTCTTGCCTCCTCCTATAACAAAAATACTACTCCAGTGTGCTTGGTTTAGGAAAAAGTATTTGGTTACTGGTGAGGGGTGTATTGCAAACATAATTAAAGTGTCTCATCTCCAACAATTTAAGCTTATGTGAATTGGTTCGTGCAGTTCAATAAACACGATTAAGATTATGCTCGGAAGAATCACTGACATTAGTACGTGGACATAATGAACGCGGTGAGTTTAGTTTGTGAAGTGTCTTTGATATCCTCCTTTGGGCTTAGCAAATTGAATAGGGGGGAAATTGCTGGTCGATAGCGGGAAGCCTTTTCGTGCCTATTTCATTGCATTTTCATGCCTAATTGTCTGCAGATTGTAAGTAAACTTGAGGCAGCTAATAAAGTGAAGGAGCCCCTGAAATCAGGCTTGTTGAATGGAAAGTGGGAGCTTTTGTATACCACATCTCAATCAATTCTCCAAACTAAGGTCTGGCCTAATCTTATTCTTTCTTCTGCACATTTCTGTAAGCTAAGATGCTCCTGGTCATTTATCATCTCCTTTTTGTTTTTCTTCTAATGAGCAGATTATTTCAATTACTGAAATTGTTAGTTTTACAAGTAAAACGCTATGGTGTGCAGAGAAAGGGAAAATACATAGGTAGTTAGTCACTTTTACCCTTTTGTTCTTTTATCATTATCAAGTACATAGGTGCTTGCCCATGAATTGGAAAATTTAAAGCAGTTAATTGATTCTTACTTATCTTCCTTTGCACTGGACTAAATGAGATAAGCAAAGGATGATGTCTACATCTAGTCACATTAAAGTTGCTTCATCTGCATGTGATTTCAGTTCCTATAATTGTTTTAGGAATAATCAGAAGGTTAGACATCCTTTTGTTGTTTGTTAGTCTAAAAAATATTATTGGGTAGTTTAGTGTGCTGTAACCTAGGTATTGATACTTAGCCTCAAGAAATTGGATCAGGTACTCCAATGGACGAGAAGAACTCCGATTAATGCACCACTGGCGCCTCCATTTTCCTTTTCTCCAACTTCTTAAACTACAGTGGAATATTATTTGGTTCAGTATTTAAGAGGGCTTCCATTTTGTGGTGTGCTTCCTCCATTTTGGTTTCTGCAAAATGATATGGTTGATCGGTTGATTATGATTATAATGGGTGTTTTCTGTGCTTGACTAGTTTTCCAATTTGCATAGTCCTTACTATCAGTTTGCTCCATTATTAATGGGGATTTATAGTGCTCTCCTGGTTAAATAGCAATAAAAGTACTTCCATGCATCCAATATCAAGCATGATAAATAATATTTTTCTATTTTCATTGCCTTCCGGAGGTTGCCTTTAGAAATTATTTTTCCTTCTTCTTCTGAGAGTGTTGGTTGATCAACTCCTTTTCTCATTTCCTTCTGTTGTTTAAATGTTGGTTTTAGATCACACTTTTCAATTTGGTTTCTTCACTCCAATCACCAACACGGTGTTACTGACGCAGTCTAAAGTGACAAACGACAGCAAGATTCTAGAAAGGAAAAATTAAAGGCAGCAGTGATATACATATGAGCTATTGCCTACTGAGCTTATGACCAGTGTTCTGTTATGTAATTTCTTTGTTTGATGTGCTTCAATCTGAACTTTAATGACAAGGTTCTTGTTTGGTTATTATTGTGACAGAGACTCAAAATTTTGAGACCGACTGGAAAAATTTACCAGGCTATCAATGCAGATACACTGAGGGCTCAGAATATGGAGACATGGCCGTTTTTCAATCAGGTCCTCTTTTTTAATTCTTAGAGAGCAGTAGTGATTTTTATTTGATATCCCTTTAGTTTAGTCACCTTGATTAATATATGCAGCCTGCAGATTTCCAGAAGGTCTTCAAAATTGTTTTGAACTTTGAAGTTTTTCTTTTTGCCCGGAAACAAAGAGACACACACACTCACTCCCACTTTCTTTAAGATATGAAATATTTCCATGAATAAGAAGGACCACATGGACAAAAAAACTTGGATCGATAATGATCTCAGTATAAGTATGTGATTTTGTTATAAGCTGTTGGAACTGCTGCTTTTTGTCGATGTTTGCAATTGCTGAGAAAAGGTAAGAGGTAAAAAGGTGATGCTTGATTTCTGTCAGGATAGATATCATAGGCTGGTTTTTGCTCCTTGAAAGTTATAAAAGTTAAGTTTTTCGTCATGGTGAGATTCTCATTGTCCTGGATTCCAAGAGAAAAATTTGACATATATTTAAGAAAGGGTTATCTTTTGTCAATTTTAAAAAGGAAATGTTTCATCTTTGATATTTGCAATACAATTGAGGCCAGTTTTCTTACAATCTCTGCAGGCCACTGCCAATTTAGTTCCTCTCAATGAACGGAGAGTTGCTGTAAAATTTGACTCTTTCAAGATAGCTGGTCTGGTAGGTAAAACCTTAAATTTGGCTTGGAAATATAAGTAGCCTGCATTTCATGGTATCATTAAGCACATGACTGTGACAACAAGATATCTCTATTTCTACTTACCTATCTCTCTGTTACTGCTTGCTTCATGGCGAATTGGGTAGAAAAATTAAAACGAATGTATTAAGCTTTACTTGTTAACTTTTCTTGGATCAATCTTTTTTCTGGCTTGTAGATACCCATAAAAAGCCGTGGAAGTGGTCGTGGTCAACTTGAAATCACATACCTGGACGAAGAACTGAGGTAAAGAAAAAGAACCCACTCTGTAATTATTAATGATTTTTGTGTAGTGATCTTCCTTATAGGCTAGTCATGTTCAGAGAGCATGACCACTGACAAACTGCATTTCGATCAGCATCAGTTCTCCTATTTAGCTTCCTCGTTTCATAAAGACCATGCTCACGTTTCTCTTATTAGCCATGAAATTGCAGTTCGCATTTCTTTTGTGGGGAACATGAACCACACGATACATGTGGCGTGCTCAGGTGTCTAATTGTACAACAATTCTATGAAAATAAAAGCAATATACATTTGAAATGGGAACACTGATGTTTAGTAAGTTGGTATGATAGACTAGTAATTTATTGTTCTAAAGTTAAATACATACTCCAAAGGACTTCTTCCCGCCCTATCGAACATGATCCATCTTTGCATTAGGTTAAATGGGGTGATTGGACCGCAGGTTCAAGTTCTTCTATGTATTGAACCTGTGACATTAGAGAAAATAATTCCAAAAATAAACTGTCTGCCTGTTGCCTTCTATTTCTGGTTTATTTGTCATCTAATTTCCTTTTTGTGTTTAGTTTTGCTTTTTCGTATAACGTCATCATTTACAGGATATCAAGGGGCAACCAAGGAAACCTGTTTATTCTAAGAATGGTGGATCCATCATATAGAGTCCCTCTTTAGGCATATTTTCTGTTGATGGTGATTGTCTCAATGTGGTTGCTGTTTGAACCATTGTAGTAGGAATTCAGTGTTAAAAGAAGTTCTCTGAAGTATTTCAGCTCATTGCTGGAAACAAGATATACATCTGAACCTCATTGCTGGTAGAGTATATTCTAAGACTCCAAGTGAGCCTACTTCAATTCTTTATTTAACCATGATCGGCCATCATAATAGCAAATAAGTGTATTCCAAGACTCCAAGTGAGCCTAATTTAACTGTGATCGACCATTATAATAGCAAATAAATGTATTCCTTGTAGTTAGATCAAGCAGGATTTTTTAGATCGAATTAGCAATAATACATCGCAACTATGGGATTTTAACCTCCCCCCCCCCCCCAAATTTTTTTTCGTAATATATGAATGTAATCCGCTACTGTGTTAAAACACAAAATTAAAAAACTGTTAGAAGAATAAAAGAAATTGGAAAACAGTAAAGAAATATTCCGAGTCCACAATTTGCTTGTGCGTCCTTAAGGAATTTTAACCCCCTCACACGTTGCCAAGGTAATGGATTAAATCCTCCCAGGATGAAACAGAATAAACCTTCCTGCAACAGTGGCAATACAAACTGCAGGATACCAACGAACTCAAAAAACGGAGCAAAATCACACTTACGAATTTGAGAGAGAGAGACTGAGAATTAGAATGCAGTATTTTCAGAAAGAAGGAAGTTTTGTAATTTTTTCAATGTGTTAAAAACAAAGTCATGCCTCAGAATTTATAGGCAATTATTGGAAGAAGTGTGATGTTTGTTCTGGAAAAGGTGTTTGTTCAGAAGTTTGTGCGTCCTGCCGGTCCTACCGCGGCCAGAGTGGCCTTCTGAATCTGCAGCAGTGTTCTGGCGCGGTCAGCGGCTAACTAACTGACATTTAATTAATTATTAAATAATTAATTAAATAAATTTTGTCCAAAAATAATCTTATCGATCATTTGCCAAATCCAAATCCAAATCCGAAGCCGAAGCCGAAGCCGAAGCCGAAGCCGAAGCCGAAGCCGAAGCCGAAGCCGAAGCCGAAGCCGAAGCCGAAGCCGAGCCGAGCGACGACGACGGCGCGAGGGTTCATTCTCTTCAACTCCTTTTAAGAGCTTTAAGAAGTGATTCTATATATATACACACAAATGTAGTTGTCCCTTACCAATGAGGGACAAAGTTCAAGACAAAAGCTCACTTCATTCAAATTTTTATTTCCCTCCATTTTATTTTCCACCATTTCCAATTCACACTCTTAGACTTTAAAGCCCAATGCTTAAAGTCTTTGAAGCCCAATGCTTTAAAGTCTAACAATCCCCCACATGAATGGGAATGGCTATAACAAGAATGATCATAGATGAAAGCTGTGTGATTTGCAAGTAAGGATTAATTGCATCTGGATAAGTAGGTTTCCCTTTGAACTTTCCGTAGTGAACATATGTCGGATATACTCGGTCAATCGGTAGATTTGATATCTTTGAACCGTCGAACTTTAGTGTATACCTAGACAACCATATGTCACACAACCAATCCTTAACCGTCTTTTGGTTCTCATTGTTGTGTTCGTTTCAGCCATGAACACCGCATGGTTTCGTAAGTGTGTAGAGAATTGGCCTTACAGAATTCTCATTGAAGCGGCTTCCACTTCACACTTACATAGGTGAGTCCTAAACGTGTAATCCTTTAGATTGACACTATTTGATAAATACCACATCAAACTTAGGTAATCATTAAAGAACGTGTAAAGTTATATCCTTGTTACTGAACATTGTCTTCATCACGAGAAGGGACCAAAGATTTTACTTTGACAATGTTGAACCGGTCAATCACAACTTTGTTTGAGCTCCTTGAACTAGATCTCAGAACATCCAAAATTCTAGGTAGAGTTACCGCCATGTTGACTTGTCCTCGGCCATAGTCCCATTCCCTTAGATGATTTCTCAACTCCCTCTCTAGTTAAGCCTTTTGTAAGCGGATCCGCCACATTATCCTTTGATCTTACATAATCAATCGTGATAATTCCACTAGAAAGTAGTTGTCTAACGGTGTTATGTCTTCGTCATATATGACGAGACTTTCCGTTATACATAATGCTCCCTGCCCGTCCTATTGCAGCCTCACTATCGCAATGTATGCAAATAGGAGCCAAAGGTTTTGGCCAGAACGGAATGCCTTCTAAGAAATTTCGAAGTTATTCAGCTTCTTCACCGGCTTTATCCAAAGCTATAAACTCTGATTCCATTGTAGAGCGAGCGATGCACGTTTGTTTGGAAGACTTCCAAGATACTGCTCCTCCACCAATAGTAAAAACATATCCACTTGTGGACTTTGTTTCTGTTGAGCCGGTTATCCAATTTGCATCACTATATCCTTCGATAACCGCAGGATGTTTATTGTAGTGCAAAGCGTAGTCTTGGGTATATTCCAAATATCCCAGAACTCGTTTCATTGCCACCCAGTGATGTTTGTTTGGATTACTTGTATCGACTAAGTTTACTTATTGCACAAGCTATATCAGGTCGTGTACAGTTCATGATGTACATTAAGCTTCCCAACACACGAGCATACTCCAATTGAGACGTACTTGCACCTTTATTCTTTATAAGATGATGATTTAAGTCAATTGGAGTTCTTGCACTTCTAAATTCCAAGTGTTTGAATTTTTCAAGTACCATTTTCACGTAATGTGATTGAGACAAAGCTAGACCCTGAGGAGTCCTCTGGATTTTAATTCCTAGAATTACATCGGCAACTCCTAAGTCTTTCATATCAAACTTACTAGCAAGCATGCGCTTAGTAGCTTGAATGTCGGCAATGTCTTTGCTCATTATTAGCATATCATCAACATATAAGCAAACAATGACTATATGATTTGGAACGTTCTTAATGTAAACACATTTATCACATTCATTAATCTTAAAGCCATTTGACAACATTGTTTGGTCAAATTTCGCATGCCATTGCTTGGATGCTTGTTTTAGTCCATAAAGAGACTTAACAAGACGACACACCTTCTTTTCTTTTTCCGGAACCACAAACCCTTCAGGTTGGTCCATGTAGATTTCTTCCTCTAAATCACCATTTAAGAAGGCTGTTTTTACATCCATTTGATGGATTTGAAGATCATACAAGGCGGCTAACGCTATTAGCATCCGAATGGATGTAATTCTTGTTACCGGCGAGTATGTGTCAAAATAGTCAAGACCTTCTCGCTGTGTAAATCTTTTGACAACAAGTCTTGCCTTGTATTTGTCAATAGTACCATCGTCTTTCATTTTCTTCTTGAAAATCCATTTAGAACCCAATGTTTTATTACCTGGAGGAAGATCAACCAATTCCCATGTATGGTTGCTCAATATGGATTCTATTTCACTATTGACCGCGTCTTTCCAATATTGTGCTTCTGATGAAGACATTGCTTCCTTGAAGGTACGAGGTTGACGTTTACTTCTTCTCGAATTTTCCTCATTAGGCATACCATCTGTTATTTCCTCCCGAGGTCGTTTTGACTTTTGGTAGGTCACTTCACTTTCCTTTTTATACAGATAAATAGTTTCAAAGAATTCAGCATTATCTGATTCTATTATCGTATTAACGTGAATCTCAGGATTTTCTGACTTATGAACCAGAAAACGATATGCCTTGCTATTGGTTACATATCCAATAAACACACAATCAACCGTTTTTGGACCTATCTTAACCCTTTTAGGTTTAGGAACTTGTACCTTAGCTAAACACCCCCACACTTTGAAGTATTTCAAGCTAGACTTCCTTCCTTTCCATTTTTCATAGGGAATGGACTGTGTTTTACTATGAGGTACACGGTTGATTATTCGGTTAGCTGTATGTATAGCTTCCCCCCACAAGTTTTGTGGTAAGCCAGAACTTATCAGCAACGCATTCATCATCTCCTTCGATGTTCGATTCTTTCTCTCCGCAATTCCATTAGATTGTGGAGAGTAAGGGGCAGTTGTTTGGTGAATAATGCCATTTTCCAAACATATTTCTTCAAAAGGAGATTCATATTCGCCACCCCTATCACTTCTTATCATTTTGATCTTTTTGTTTAGTTGTGTTTCAACTTCACTCTTGTATTGCTTGAAAGCATCAATTGCCTCATCTTTACTATTAAGTAAATAAACATATCAATATCTCGTGCTATCGTCAATAAAAGTAATAAAATACTTTTTCCCACCGTGAGATAGTGTTGACTTCATGTCACAAATATCTGTGTGAATTAAGTCTAAAGGACTTGAATTCCTTTCAACGGACTTATAAAGATGCTTAGCATACTTTGATTCCACACATATTTGACATTTGGAATTAATGCAATCAAATTTTGGCAATACTTCTAAATTTATCATCTTTCGCAATGTTTTGAAGTTGACGTGTCCTAAACGCGAATGCCATAAAGTGTTTGACCCAAGTAAGTAAGAAGAAGCATTCACTTTATTGATAGGAACTGCTATATATTTAGCTTAAAAAGCCCTCATCAGTGTAACCTTTCCGTACATACATATCATTCTTACATTAGTACACACTATTGGAAACAAAAATACATTTGAATCCATTCTTGACAAGAAGTGAGTAGACACAAGAATTCTTTGCGAAATTTTTGAACATGGAGAACTTGGTTTAGAAGTCACTATTTTTCCGACGTCATCTTCAACCCATCTTGCCAAACTCTTCAATTTTGCTGTAGACGAATTTCCCATGAAAATTATCTCGTCGGGTCCATGCGGGGGCATAAGAAGAAAATAACTCCTTGTTAGCACAAACATGACGGGTCGCTCCAGATCATCCACCATTCTTTAGGATTTCCTACCAATTGCATTCAGACAACATGGCACACAAGTCCTCCATTCTTCAGCATTTCAACCATGTTAAGCTTGATTCTTCTTCTTCTTATCATTCTTTGGTGCACGACAATCCACGCCTTATTGCCAGATTTTCCACAGTTGTGGCAATTACCCTTGAACTTTTTCTTGCTTGGTAATTCTTTGGTCCAGAAGCCTTCTTTCTCTTCTTATTTTGTGGCGCCTCCTCAACAATGTTAGCCCTTATTATTGTCGAGTTTCCACGTGACTTCTTTTCAGCATTTTTTGTTGTCTTCTTCTATCCTCAAACGAACAATCAAGTCTTCAAGTGTCATTTCCTTCCGCTTGTGTTTTAGATAGTTCTTAAAGTCCTTCCACAACGGAGGTAACTTCTCAATGAAAGCGGCAACTTGAAAGGCCTCATTTATGACCATAGCTTCAGCAAGGAGGTCATGCACAATGACTTGTAATTC